CCCTTGATGCTGTGAGTGAACTTACCTGTTGTTGATTCACCCATAAAGTAACAACTTAGTTTGTTATGGGTTAGACTTGGCACAACTTCACCGCATGAGTTCGGTGTGAATTAAATTTGAGGATCAAGCTAGGATACAGGTGAATTAAAACTTAATGACAACCTTGAATTATGTTTAGCAAAAATTAAGAAGAGAAACTCTGCAAACAATGGCTACACTGTAGTTAATTGCCTATTTGTTAATTTATAAAAGGGGCATTTAGACTGCTGGTCATTGGCTTCTACTGACCTCGAACTTGGTCATTATTATAGAAGACTTGAGCCCGCAGTATTATATTTTAAGAGTGACCATCTAAGCCAGCATCCATCCCCCATCAATGATGTGCTCGCACCCCGTCATGTAAGGTGCCTCATCTGACGCCAGGAACACGGCCAGCTTGGCGATTTCTTCAGGTGTTCCAAGACGCCCTTGCTTCTGGCGGGCAAGGAATTTCTTCATAGCTTCTTCAGGATCTGGGGCACTGTTAATTCGTTCCCGCAAAGATGGGGTGTCCACCGTGGCCGGGCAAATGACATGGGTACGAATTCCCTGAGTAACGAAGTCGGACGCGATAGATTTTGTGAAGCCGATCACCGCACCCTTTGTTGTGCTGTAAACGAAACGGTTGGGTACCCCCCTGATGCTTGAAGCCACAGACGCCATGTTTATGATGACCCCTCCACCTTGTGCTAACATGATCGGAAGAAATTGCCTTGTTATTCGATACATGCTCTTAATATTGATATCGAACGAGAGGTCCCAATCTTTCTCCTCGCAGTCTAGGATTGTTCCATCGTGCACGATGCCTGCACAGTTGAAAAGCACGTCGAGCTTTGAGAATTCTTTGGCGAGGGCTTTTATCGCATCGTAGTCTGTTACATTAAGGATCCTGGTTCGTATTCCTTTGATGGAGTCGAGCTCGGCGAGTTTCTCGCCATTGATGTCGGTGGCTAAAACTTTGGCTCCTTCCTCGGCGAATGCTTCGGCGACAGCACGGCCGATGCCTTGTGCTGCGGCAGTAACTAGGATTTCTTTCCCTTCTAAGCGTCTTCGTGCCATTTTGTGGATCGAATGAGAGCGACAGCCAACAAAGAAAGTTTAAACAGATTGCGTTACTTACTAAACTCGTGACCGTCATGAGAGCTGCTATTTGTCAGCGGATTGCTTTTGGAGTAATATTAATATTATGTATGCTACCTGGAATGTCTCTTCGTTCGTGTTCCCCTAACTTACTCAATGTTGCACCGACCACACCAATGTTTTCGTTATGCGAAAACGCATACCTTTTTATGCGTTTTCGCCATTGTCCACATTAAAACGCCCGAAAACGGTGATGGAAACGACAGTGTGTGACGCTTTTTTCGTCACCGTTTTCAGAATCCTCCGTTTTCACCCACTCCAACCTAGCTAGAAACGGAGCGTTTTCAAAAGATCCCACTTTTGAAACAGTTTTCGAAAGCTTTCGTTAACATCAGCGTTTCCGGTCGTTTTAGTGTGGACGATAGGCGAAAACGCATCAAAAAGTATGCGTTTTCATACGAAAACGAATATTTGTGTGGTTGGGGCCTTACAGTGCGACTACTCTACCCAAGGCCGCCTGACAAAATTTTCTAGAAATTTAACAAATAAAAATCGTGGTTTTCCAACAAATTAAACATGTAATCAAGCTGTACATTACAAAGGCAACAGATTTGTGGTCATTTTGATTAGTAACTATTTTAAAACTTTAAAAATGCGCTTCGCCTAAATATCCGACTAGACTTGGAAATAGCGGAAAAATCAAATTTCTTCAAACTTGTCCAGAATGAAGCCCTACGGGCACTAGCTACAAAAATATTGTTTTAGAGTTCGATAAATCAAAACTTATTTTTTTATGCAATTTTTTTCAGTTTTCGATGCC